CCCTTTATCCTCCCATGATGATGATGATGATGATGATGATGATGATGATGATGATGATGATGATGATGATGATGATGATGATGATGATGATGATGATGATGATGATGATGATGATGATGATGATGATGATAAAAACGAGGACGGAGGTCTTGCGAATCTATAAGAAATGCAGACGCCATCGGCGCGCCTCGTCGTAGAGCCCGATGAAGACAGCTGCGCACGTGAGGCGGCATCAGCATCTCCCAGTGGGTCAATGTTGGTCAGCTGTATTGCGATCCTGCGCCTCTTATACTCTGCCTCGTCAATGGTCTCGCAGTTCTCGTCGGAGCGGCCCGTGCCCGTAAGCAGCCCAGTGCGCTGCGCGTAGTTATCTCGAATCCGAATACGTTCCTCCTTTGTGTCGGGGTCGTCCCACTCGCCGCCCTGCCCAACGTGCTCGAAATCTGTAGAAGCTTCGACCTCAGTGATCCGATCCCAGAACATGCGGAACGAGATGTAGCGGGCCTGGTTGAGCACCAAGAACATCTCAAAGGTGTCCGTGTATTCGTTCCGGAAGCCAGACTCCATCATCGAGAACGGCTGCGGGCACATCGGAGCAACGCCAACTTGCTCGGCTGACACAGCTGCGCGGGCTTCCTTCCGCGAGGCACCCTTTCCATCGTCGATGAAAGGGGCGACTTTTCGCCGCCAGGACGGCGCATCATTGTCCATCTCGTACTCCATCTGCTTAATCGCACCTGGACTCCTCTGGATCTGTCGCATGTAAGCGCGCGTGGCGTTGATGCAGACAGGGTGCATCGGCTGGCACCTAAACCTCCCCATCGTAGTCTCGCCCTCGCCCAAGCACAAGAAGCACTGATAGCCGAAGGCGCTCGGCGCCTCCGAGGGGGCAGCCGCGCCGACAGCAGCGCCCCTCCGACATGCCAGCGCGAGAGGGCCATTGCCCAGCATGATGCTGGCAATGAAGGGTATAAAGAAGAAATGAACCACCTCGTTGAGTGAGCGCATGCTCGCAACGATGGAGTCAAAACGGCTTGCGGGCCCAGCGGTAGCAGGTGTGAACTGAACTCGGACGTCGGGCCCAAATGGGAGCGCAGCAACAGACACGACTGTAATATTTACTCGGGGCATTCTCAGAATTTGCGCTCACCAGCAGTGACCGTGGTGATGGTGGCGATGATTATGCGGTTGATGACGGATGGTGACGATGATTATGACATAATCACCGTGATGATGGTGATGGTGATGGTGATGGTGATGGTGATGGTGATGGTGATGATGATGATGATGATGATGATGATGATGATGATGATGATGATGATGATGATGATGATGATTATGATGATGATGATGATGATGATGATGATGATGATGATGATGATGATGATGATGATGATGATGATGATGATGATGATGATGGTGATGATGACGATGACGAGGGTGGCCACGGTGACCCCGTGCACGCAGACAAAGGCTCCCGCGCGCGACTTCCCCGCATATTCTTCGTCGCGGAAAACGTCGGAATCAGGATCCGTGGGGAACCCAAGGGGAACCCAAGAGACGGGAGCGTCGCAGCGTGAGTCCAGGTGGGGGTGCGGGGGGTGGTGGGGGCGGTGGTGGTGCGTGGGGGGGGGGAGGGGGGGCAAGAATCCACGAGGAGTGGAGGAGGCCCGAGGAATCCAAGAGGGCCCAAGGGGCCCAGGAGGAGCCCAATAGAGTCCAAGAGGGCCCACAATGCCCAGCAGGTGCCCAAGAGGCCCAAGAGGCCCGAGATGGCCCAGGAGGTGACAACTGGTAACCCAGGAGGCCCGCGCGGGGTCCACGACTGCCCATCAGAGGGCCAGGAGTAATCCAGGACGCCCAGGGGGGGGCTACGATGAGCCCATGAGGCTTCAGATTTGCCATGTGGAGTCCTACGGGGAGCAGGGGCGCCCCAGTGGAGTCGAAGGTGCCCAAGAGGAACGGAGAGAAGCCCCAGAGGAGTCCAAGAGGGCCCAAACGGCCCACGGGGGTCCAAGAGGGCCTGAAGGCCAGGTCCAAGAGGCCCCAGGAGGTCCAAACTGGCCTGAGGGTTGAACCCACTTCGGGCCCGCGTTCGGGCCCGAAGTGGGTTCAACCATCTGGCAAGTTTGGATCACGACTTCAGACTTGAACCCACTTCGGGCCCGCAATGGGTTCCATTCCGGGTCGCGGAGTGGAGGGTGTGGATGGAGTGGAGGGTGGACGGAGAGCGCCATATTCAATCGCTCTGGTCCCGCGCGGCCTCTATCAAGGTTGCAGCGGCCCAGTGCACATGACAGAGCGCGGCGCGCAGCGGCCTGGTGCCGCGAGCAAGGGAACCAGGATTGCAGTCAGCATGCATGCCGAGTCGGCATTGCCGACGGCCAGAACAAGTATTTGAATGCATGTGAAACCATCCCCTCCATGCCCAAACCATTCCTCAACTCCCACCCCATCCATCAACCCGTCCATTCACCATCCTCCTCGCCCATTCAAGTGACATGCGCCCTCGCGCATGTCATCATTACCGACCCTCAGGGGGGCGCGAGATCGTCAGGGCCGTGCTTCGGCCTGGGCAGCGGCGGCGCCGTCGGGCCGTCGGGCACTGCCCTCGGCACCAAATAGTTGGGCACCAGAAACCTTGGCTTCTTCGTCTCAATCCAGGGCGGCGCTTCTCGGGGACGGGACTTGTCCGTGAGCGTGATATTCGCCTTGCCCTTAGGCCGAGGAACGTCGAAATTGCCGACGGGCGTCGGGTTGAAACGATCAAACGGGTTATGCGCAGCAACAGTGGCCGCATCCGCTCGCGCGAACCCGAAGGCGATCGGATCGCCCACAGCGCGAGGCGGGGCAATGCGTCGCGCATGTTCTAAACGGGCCGCAATGTACTGCCCGATCATCTTGGCGATGGAACCGCCCCCTGGGGATGGGGGTGCTCCATCGCCAAGATGATCGGACAGGGGCGACTCGATAGCATTCGGAATCGCAGATGGGGGCCCTTTCTGTGGAGGGGCCTCGGCCTCAGCAGAGCTCAGAACTTCTGTCGGGCTGGATGGCAGCGGGTGCTCCTGCACGGGGCACTCGATGGGTGACTCAGCGGCTGGGTCGCCAGCCAGCGTCTCCTCGGTCGCCAGCAGTTTGTCTGCGAGATCCCGACGACCGTCCCCCTGCTCTGGCGGTGCTCCCTGCTGTGGCCACGGCTGCTCTGGCGCTGCTGGTTCTGTCAACGGCTGCTCTGGCGCTGCTGCTGGTGCTGTCCGCGGCTGCTCTGGCGCTGCTGGTTCTGTCCACGGCTGCTCTGGCGCTGCTCCTGGTTCTGGCCACGGCTGCTCTTGCCGCGGCTGCTCTGACCACGACTGCTCGGGCCACGGCTGCTCTGACCACGACTGCTCGGGCCACGGCTGCTCTGACCACGGCTGCTCTGGCCACGACTGCTCCTCGTCAGGGGCTGCCCGATCGTATCCCATGAATGTGTTTGCTGCTCGCGCGAGGGTCACTGGTGCGGGCAGCCAACAAGTTCATGGGATACGATCGGGCACCCCCTGCATCCTTGGCAGCGCCTGCACCCTTGGCATCTGGAGCGTCAGCAGGCTGCACTGCATCTGGAGCGTCGGCAGGCCGCACTGCACCTGGAGCGTCGGCAGGCTGAGGCGGCATGGAGTCGGCAACATCGATCGCACCAGGCCGCGCACTGGACGCGGCCCCTGCACTGGACGCGGCCTCCGCGCCGTCGGCTGCCGTGTTGGTCCTCCCCGCGTCGACCCTGAGGCGCTTCGAGGCCTTCTCGCACTCCTCAACCGCCTTCCGGCACACGGTGTCCAGGAGGGACATGTGCAAGGAGTCCGAATCCTCGCCCGCCTCGTCCTGCGGCCCATCGGCCGACCTGATCTGAATCTTGAACTTCAGGGCGAAGTCCACGTCGTGCTCGGCTACCGCGGGCAAACCCTTTACGGGGATCCTCAATCTGACCTCTTTGAAATCGCCCTCTGTACCAAGATCTGGCTGCTTGGTTGACGGCTGCATTGCGGCACAGAGAAGCGCCCTCGGGGGCGCGTGGGCGCGTGGGTTGCCCAGACCCTTGGCGGAGCCAGGGCTGAAACGTAGATGTGCCAAAACGGCTGCAGACGGTGATGCTGATGTTGCTGGTGAGGATGATGATGATGATGATGATGATGATGATGATGATGATGATGATGATGATGATGATGATGATGGTGGTGCTGATGATGATGATGATGCCGAGCGCCGTGGCGCATGATGATGTTGGTGGTGGCAGTGGTGGTGATGACGACGGCGGTGATGGTGATGATCATGATGATGGTGACGCTGGATGTGTTGGAGGCCTCATCATCAACCTCGCCGTAACCAACATCATAACCACCATCAGCATCAACATCGTCATCACATTCATCATCACATTCACCACCAACACCAACATCAGCATCATCATCACATTCACCACCAACACCAACATCAGCATCACAAACATCATCGTGGTCACTGGTGGTGGTGACGGGTAATGACAGTGGTGGTGGTGATGGTGGTTTGGGTGTTGATGGCGATGATGCGGATGCTGATGGCAGCGATGATGGTGCGGCTGATGATGATAAGTTTGATGATGGGGATGGTGCTGGTGATGGTTGCAGTGACGATGGTGACGATTGCGGTGATGATGATAATGATGATGCTGATGATGCTGGTGATGCTGATGAAAATGATGGTGGCGATGGCGGCGGTGATGGTAATGATGGTGATGGTGGTGATGGTGGTGTCGATGGTGGTGATGACGAGGGTGATGATGGTGATGATGATGATGATGATGATGATGATGATGGTGATGATGATGGTGATGATGATGATGGTGATGATGGCGGTGGTGATGGTGATGAAAGTGATGCTGGTGATGATGGTGGTGGTGATGACGAAGGTGATGATGGTGATGACGATGATGACAGAGATGTGGATGTCGGGCAAGGCAATTCGGGCTTTCAGCGTTCCAGCCCTTATATATGCGCTCAGGCGCATGGGTGCGCCTGCACACGCCGAGAACGATCCTCGTTCGGACAGCGAATTGCGGAGCGCTTTGCCCCCAGTTCCAGAAAACATCATCACCATCATCACCATCATCACCATCACCACCACCAGCATCACCATCAGCATCATCACCATCATCCTCATCACCATCATCACCATCATCATCATCATCATCATCATAACCAACAACATCATCGTCATCACCACCACCATCATCATCCGTAGCCATTCTTGGCTCAAGCGGTTTGGGATCGTCCCTAAGCTTATTTCCTTTTGGTCGCTGCCATGCGCTTTTCGGTTCAACATGGTGCTTTCAAGATCAACGTTCGCTGTATTGGTGTTTTTCGCGATGTTTTGAATGAGCTGGATTCTAATGGGCCTTATCGTGTTTCTGCAGTGCGCAACAAGGCACACATTTCGACACCGCCGCATGATCCTTCTGGCCTTGGGTCGGAGTGCAATTTGTATGACGCTGAGATGTTTCGCCCCAGTCTGGATTTCTTTTCTTCCTATGTCAGAAGTGTTGTCTCCACACATACGGATATGCCGTGCCCGACCCTGTCTAGAGCCCATGGTGGTTTGAGGGACAGGCGGATTTTGTGTCCTCGCGATTTGAGGAGGCTACGTCGTCTTAGTATTGCCGAAGCTGTGCAAAAAGCATGAAACCCTCGCTGAGATCAACAAGTTTCAACACCAGATCAGTTCAATTCTCATTGGAGCCAATTCCCCTTCCTCGCATATTCGGTGCCCACGGTATCAGTGCAAATCTCTGTCGCCTCGGTCTACTGTTAATTTTCGTTTGGCGGATAAGTCTATCGCTATCAATGTGGCCCCCAACACCGACCACACCTTACCTGGAGGTGGATTGGATGGAGCCCTTCCTTGCCACATCCTTGAGAAACATATGTTGAGACGTCAACTTCAACTACGGCCTCGTATTTCGTTGGCTCTGAACGATCTTATTCCTGGCGCCGAGGATCGCGCTGATGTTCTGCTTAGTGGAATGCCGACGTTCCCGCCTGACGCAGACAGGAAAGAAGTCAATCGATTTGGAGACGGAGCTGGCCTGGTTTCAGCTAGGTACACCGCTTCGCTGATGGAGCGATGTGCCCCCCGTGCCGAACGCAGACATCTTCGCAAATATATGGTCAATGTGCTTGCCCGTAGTTCTGTGAACGCCGATTTTCGCCGGCAGCGTGCTCTTGATCGGATTGTAGAAATGTTGCAAGATTTTCGGCGTAAGTGCATGATCATGCTTGGTCCTTCGAATTCAGATGCAGGAGTGCCGTATATGCAAGAGTCTATCACATGATATGCTGTTCCTCGCCATCTTTAGCTCTGTCTGTGCTTGCTTCGACTGTGCCTTCTCTGCGTTTAATTTCCTCCGCGCTCACAAGAGATGGGGACAAGCGACACTCTCTCCCCTTCTTTCCGCGAGGGCTCGGGCCATTGCGACGAAGAGGAAGGCGGTGCGAGCTCTTTTAAATCGACCAGACCATTGAGGAACGAGTGGATCACCACCACCATCATCATCACCAGCATCATGGCGGTGGCCCTCGCTTGCCACGAGTTGCTCTGTGAACGTCCTTGGCCACAGCGTGAGAAATGGCGGTCAGTTCCTTCACATTCGGGCATCCCCCACCTCCTCGTCCAACTCCTCCACCTCCTCGTCCAACTCCCCCACATCATCGCCCAACTCCTCGCCCAACTCCTCCTGGCCCCCCGCGCTCTTCATGTCCACCGATCCCCCTAACCCTCCTAACCCTCCACCTCCTTTTCCAACTCCTCCGCCTCCTCCTCCAACTCCTCCACCTCCTCCTAACCCTCCGCGTCGAACTACTCCACCTCCTCGTCCAAGTCCCACACCTCCTCGTCGAACTCCTCCACCTCCTCGTCCAACTCCCCCACCTCCTCATCCAATTCCTCCACCTCCTCGTCCAACTCCTCCACCTCCTCGTCCAACTCCTCCACCTCCTCCTAACCCCCCGCGCTCTTCATTTCCAACTATCCTCCTAACCTTTCTAAGCCTCGCAAGCTCGGCCTAGACCGCCGTGACTGGCCTGCTCGTCTGGCGCCCGCCCGCTTTCTTCTTGGACTTGGCAATGGCGTGCTCGACGATAGTTGCATAGCTCTTCGTCGGGATGGCCAGCATCTGCTGGATGACGAGGCTCGCCGATTTCAACTCCTCCTGATCGTGCTTGACCTGCTTCTGCAACTCCAGGACCATGGAGATGAGCGTGGCCTTGTTCTTGATCTTGTAGCGGTCCTTCGAAACATTGTGCTTCTGTATTACCAAGCGGCGATGCGGCATGGCCCACGAAAAGGCGAGACGGGAGACTGAGGTTTGTGGTTGGTTACCACGGCGAGGAAGGCGGGAGGTTGAGGTCAGCGAACACGCTGTTCGAGAGACCAGATGGCTGAGGTCGGTGACAAGGGCTCGCGGCCACTGGGGGCCTCCGATGGAGCTCCCTATGGGGGCCCCTCTTGGGCCCCTCTCGGGGCTGTCATGGGATTATCGGAACCCTTTTGGGCTTGTCTTGGGGCGTTCAACGGAGCCCTCTTGGGCCCTCCTGAAGTGCCATCAAGGCCGACAACGTGTGTATGCGTTCCTTTGCCTGCTGTATCGGTGGTTTCGCTTTGGACATCCCCGCAACATCTGGATCCCTGGATTGTGTAGGTGGTGATGACGAGCGTAATGATGGTGATGATGATGGTGATGGTGATGATGACCATGATGATGATAATGATGATGATGATGATGATGGTGATGGTGACGATGATGATGATGGTGGTGGTGGTGGTGATGGTGATGGTGATGATGATGCTGCTGATGATGATGATGGTGGTGACGATGGCGGTGGTGATGGTGATGCTGGTGATGATGGTGGTGATGACGGGGGTGATGATGGCGATGATGATGATGATGATGACGATGATGGTGATGGTGATGATGTTGGTGATGATGATGGCGATGGTGATGATGATGATGCTGATGATGATGATGATGATGGTGGTGGTAGTGGTGGTGGTGTTGTTGACGATGGTGATGATGGTGATGATGACAATGATGATGATGGGGCTTCTTTGGGCCAGAGATGGACCCTTCAATCCACGCTGGAGGGGAATTCATGTTCCCACAATGGATGGGAAGTGCGGCTCCCACCAACAAACCTGTTAGGCGATCTACCCGTGACGCTCAATCGCTGTCAGAGTGCCACTCTGTTGAGTGGTATGCGTCCACCTTGTAAACGATGGTGTTCTTCATCGTCTTGGGGTTGGGATCCTTGGCCAGAATGTCGGCCTGCATCTCGCAAACGTGCTGCTGGGCGGTTTCTGGAATCTGACCCAGGTCATCGTCGGAGCCCCAAGTGTGAGAAATCATGGTGCTCGATGTTACACCATCTCCAGAGGTCTCTTTGCGTTCGATGTACTTCTTCTTGGGCACTACCCCAGCCGGCTTCTCAGAGGGCCCGTCGCCGACACAACCATCGGTTACTTGCGAGACCACTTCGCAGTCGACGGGCTCCTCGTCCTGGTCCTTCCTCTCGGCCAACGCCGTCGGGTCTTGATGTGAAGCCAACGCCGTCGGGTCCAACGCTGCAGCGTCCTGGGACAAGCATCCCAATGGTACGCAATCTGAACAGGAAGAGACTCGATAACACGCGGCGAGAGCCGCGTGCAAAATCTGAACAACAAAGAGACTCGATAAAATATGACTGCGGACGTCCACGCTGGAACTGAGCGACCGCCCGAAACCGTCACGCCCAAGTGGAGTGCTTAAGTGGCTGGCCCAAGGTGTTCGAGATGGCCCTATAGCCCTATGAGCCCTATGGGCCCTATGAGCCCTATAGAGCCCGATGAGCCCTATAGAGCCCTATGAGCAGGAGCCCAATGAGCCTATGAGCCCTATAGCCGACTTACCCGCGCAGGAGCCTTATGAGCCCTATGGGCCCTATGGGCCATATGCGCCTTATGATCTCTATGAGACTTATGAGCCCTATGAGCCTTATGAGCCCGACGAGCCCTATGAGCCCAATGAGCCTTATGGGCCATATGAGCCGCATGAGCCCTTATGCGCCCTATGAGCCCTAGTTTGTTTTGTTTAATGAGGCATTTTGGATCAAGCTGCTGTGGTGCAGGCCTCGCCTCCCCTCTGCTGACGCCGATGCCGAAGTCTGATGGGCGCTCCCGGTGCCTCGAGGCGGCCCGCGCAGCCGCGATGGCTGCGCGCTCCGCGGCTGGGCTGGCCACAGCTGCGGGGCTTCGCGAGGCTGCTCGCCTCCTCCGCTCCAGCGAGGCCATGGCGAGGGCGGCGGCGGCGGTGCTGGCGTCGAGCACTCCAGGACCCACAACTTCGCGGCCGGCCGGCCAGGCCGATGACGCGACTGCTGGCGCTGCTCCGGTTCCGGCCAGGGCGCGCTGGCGTGGCATGGGTACCGCGTACGGCACATAGATAGATAGATGGATGCATAGATTACCATATAGGTAGATCGATGCACGCACTTATACATACGTATGTATATATATATATATCTAGATCGAACTCTATATATATACACATAGACCGACATACCTATATCTTTACATATGTATATGTACTGCGATATGCGTATGTAGATATACAGATCTACATGTATATATATATATATGTATATATCGACATTGCTGTATAGATGGGCCTGTTGGTCTATAGGCCGATCCATTTATATATATGTATATATACATACACACAGATATATATATATAGATATATATATATGTTCAATGGTAGATATGAGCCCATATACATAGACGTCTGTCTATGCATGCGTGCATATAGGTAGAGAAATAACACCTGAGGCCCCGCTTGGGTGGAGCAGAGACCGTGCCTCCTCCCGTTCCCTCCCTTTCCCTCTGCGTGCCATTCCTCCTCCTCCCCCTCCTCCTCCTCCTCCGCCTCCTCTCCCTCCTCCACCTCGCGTTCCTCGCCTTCCTCCTCCTCCTCCCCCCTCCCCTCCTCCTCCTCCTCCTCCTCCTCCTCCTCCCTCCTCCTCCTGCTCCCCCTTCCCCCCCCTCCTCCTCCTCC